CATCCATAGGAAAGAGGCCAGTGTCCCTGCATTGGAGACATTACTAGGATAATGATGCTGATGAATTTAAAAAATCTTAAAGTTAAATTACTTCACATGGTATGCAATGTTAATTATATGTTTGTCATGTTAGTAAAGCATAAACAAAACAAGACATTCCAATATCAAAACAAGCTCGCATCAAGATTGCCCCTGGAACAATATTTATCGTGATGGGAACATCTTTGCTCGCCCAATTCCGTGCAATATGGGTCTCGGTGAGCATTCTTTAGCAATGATATTGATCTTGGCACATTTCAACACTCCAGGATATATTGGAATCTTTACAAAATACGAGGCATAATCGAAACACTAATGTCATATAGTTGTCATAACTTTATGACGTAGTTAATATAAAAGGGAAGACAGATTTTAGTATATTCAAATCGCGCAGCCTATGTCGAAATTAACTATACGTTATATTACATTTATATATTTAAGCATTTCATTGCTAGATGTTTAAAACGAAAGAATATTTAACTAGAAACAAAATCGACTCGGTCAAGGTTTCAGACGGAATAAGAAGCCGCATCTTCCGCGGATCGCTCGGATCCGGATAGCGGAAGATGCGGGTACGAATCGCGTCTGATACCTGGGCTGAGTGGAGTTTTTTCTAGTATAATTTTCTTTTTATTTAACTTAATCTACTCCTTTTCAACCAAGGAAAAAAACGGAGGAGGTTATCAATTCGACGCGTATATTATCTAGCGGCAGCTTTGTGGACCTAATGATATTTTATTGTGGTCTTTTAATTTTTGAAGTTATACTTCTTTAGGCGCGTTATGAAAAAATGATGAGAGTGAAATTTTTAGATGCGCGCGCATCACTGTAACCCAAAAGTAACAGCATGAAGTTGGCCGCGGGCGCGTTATGAAAAAATCATGTGAGTGAAATTTCGAGATGCGCGCGCATCACTGTAACACAATAGTAACACCATGAAGTTGGCCGCGGGCGCGTTATGAATGTTAGTGTCTAATAATGGTGGATTATTAACCACTTAGTGGTTAATAATCCACCATTATTAGACATCTGTTCGAAAGGTACTTTGAACGATCCACGGAGCTCCATAAGATGATCGCGTTGTCAAAAACAATGTTGGCACGCTCGTCGCCTGTGATCACTGTTTTCATATTTATAATATTTATCCACATGTTTCTAGTTTCTATATAGACACAACGTGTTTTAGTTACTTACAAGTGCTAATTACATATGGACTAATAACTTAAATTCAGTAGTGATTTTAATTGAATATTTTGAATATTTATTTAATTTTTCAAATTAAAACTGAACTTAATTGACTGTGTTAACTATCCTTTTCCAGTCCTTTTATTATTTTATTGTAATTATTAATTATTTGCATGCAATTAAAAAATATTTTTAATGATGCTAAAGAAGTATAACTTCTCACGCGCGTACATAAGTTACACGCATCCTATTTTTTTTTCAGATTTTGTTTTTAAACTATGTTTCACGCGTTATAACCAAGCAATTACTCTATTTAAGTCACTTTTAATGTTTTCTTCGATGGATTTTTTATTATGTAAGATTTTTTTTTATATACATATAAGATGAACGACTCTTGCTCTTAAAGTTACTGATGTATCTTAACCGTTATAATTTTCCTCAAAAGTTTATGAAAAGCACTATCTATCATGAATTTTTCAGATTTTTCAAGCTAATAGTTTAGCTTTTAGAGGGGGGGAGGCACCCTACTCGTAAAAAAAATATGCACTCTAAAGTTAAATATTTCGAAAACGGATCCCTAAATAAAATACTGTCTTAGCAACCCTTAATTCATTTTAAAGGACCCATTTAATGATAGCCCATATGATATGGTAGACGATAAAAAAGAAAATCATCCACACTATACATGTAGTGGAGCTAACCTAAAAAAATATTTTTTTTAAATTTTGTTCTTCCACTTTGTCCTCTCTAGTACCAACAGTCTCTATACGAAACCGGAGAGGGACATCACGAAACTATATAGGGGTTCCTTATGAGGACTACAGAACCATAAAAAGGGTTTATTATTTTCTGCTTCTCAGTATTTTCGGCGGTTTAATTTTTATTCATTTTTTTTATTGCAATTTTACTTTCGTTTCAAATTAATTAACTGCCGATTATATAACAATACTGAGAATTCCGTAAGACAACTCCGACTAGAACGTATTAAGGCAATAAAATAAGTTTAACGCAATAATTGAGATCAAAATTAGAAAGTTAGTATTTAAGAAGATGAACATCTGAGATGCTCGTAATATACATTACGTTCTGAGATTCACATTCACCAAAAAGAAAAAAAAGAGTCGACCAATGTTTTATAAGATCATAAAATCGGTCGAGCTGTTAAAATGAATGGCGAACTATAAAGGACTTGCGGTCGCTTTCATAATTTAAATGCATGTCAAAGTTTGTGTAATTCTATTTTTGTATTGCAAAAAAAGTGACAGCGTCGACTATGATCAAACTCAAGAATAGATTGACGTCATTAATTGTAGCCTAGCCAAACTCATAGTTAATGAATAATAATATGGATAAAGTAATCCAACGTAACTTACGCTTACGAGTACATGTTTCTAATACAACGAAATTTTTCTGATGATGAAAAATACCAGTCTATAGACACAGACTATGGTGGCCGCTCATCATCAGGCGGGCCATGGGCTTACATGCCACCTTTTTAACAAAAAATAAATTGATTGAACGAGAAAAATTTCGTTATAATTTTCCTCAAAGGTTTATGATGAATTATTATCATGAATTTTTCAGATATTTCAAGCTAATAGTTTAGGTTTTAGAGGGGGGGGGGCACCCTACTCGTACAATTATATGCACTTTAAAGTTAAATATTTCGAAAACGGATCCCTAAATAAAAAAACTGTCCTAGCAACCCTTAATTCAATTTAACGGCGAGAGTAATACTTTTTGTAAGTTCGCCAGACGAGCGCACTAATTCGAGCGAAAAATCCGCTATGCCCATATTTCTTCTGTAAGAAATCGCATAATAACACAAAAGGAACATCCATTTCTATCTAAAAGTTAAAACAAAATATTAAACACCGTTGTAATTAAAAACGTTGACGTTAAATAACTGTATCCTAGAATATGAATCTTTTTGGTCAAGGTGATGTTACATAAATACTTAACAAAGGATTGTTCTAGGAAGACATGATTGGATTGAACGAGTCACCCGAACACAGCCTACAATACCTACATAATTATATAGCTAGCAGAAACAAAGTTTTTTTGGCTGATCGCCAATACAAATTCCTTCTTGCGAATTCGGGAGAAAGTACTTACAACTGTGTAATACAATAGTGCCATAGATAATACAGACATTAAAATAGAAAACTACAGGCAGAGATATCAGAAATGCTTGTAGGCAATAAATGGGGAGTGTTAGTGTTCGAAACAAATAAGCTCTTTTCAATTAACTATCTACTTAAGAAACGTTTTAGAGCTTTAAGTGCTTTTCTAATGCTCACTGACAGTAGCTACATTACGATTAATGTCGCGGAACTGTCGATAATTTCACAATCGATATCAATTATTTACATTATAAATTACTCATTACCTTTGTAATGAGGGTTAATTTTCTTATTATTATTTAATTGCTATCAATAGCAGCTAAAATTCTTCAGTATAGAAGTTTCTCGCTCGAATTGGATCGCCCATCAGAGGTAATATTCTCTGTCTTACAGAAGACCGCAGTGAAATCCCTTCCTACTGTTGTCTCCCCTGATGCCCAGGATTTTCATAGTAATGATAGAAATCCTGATGGTTCCCTAGATTTAATGAAAGCTTGACAAGGGGATCTAAGGGTACTCAATATACAAATTTAAAAATAAGTTGTGCTGTCTCAGCTTATTACAATAAAATCCTGATGTCCCCCCAGGGAGGCCGTCAGGGGGGAGTAAGGTCCGAAAGGAGTAAAATAACAGTACCTTTCGGTAGCATCGGTGTGTGATAAAAAACAAACAAAGTCGTGATAAATGTATGAGTGTGAACGCATCGCAAGGAAAATCAGAGTTACAACACATGACTGACTGACTGAAGCAACATTGGAAGAACATTTAGTTGAGTTTTCCCATATTATTGTTTCTAGGCTACCTAATGAAAATAATACATACATGCATATGTAATATCTCATGTAAATGAAATCTTATTGTCATACTAAGGCGCTTTCCTCACCGGGTTGGTGCGGGCTAGTTTAATATTCGTTTCTGTACCGAATCTATACAGATTCTTTACCGAGAACCTCTTCTTGACCGGCTCGGTTTCGGTGCGGTATCGTTTCGTATTATTTGCTACGGTTTTGCTTGCGGGAGTGACGGGATGGGCGAGTCGAATGATTCGGTAGTATTCGGAAGCATTCGATACAGAGATCGTTCATTCGTTTGGTGAAGATTCTGTACCGAAACTACTCAGTGAGAAAGATATGCAGTTGGTAAAGAATCTACACAGGTTAAGTTCAAAAATGAAAACGAGCCCGTACCGACCGGGTGAGGCTCGTTTTCTACCGCCAAAGAGGAATGAACTAGGAATGTCTAGCGCAGCGGTCTGCGTGTACATAAAATAGGATTGCTCTTCCGCCGAGTAAGAGTTCAGGAGTGTTGATTTTCATCGCCAATGAGCGAGCTCATTTTTTTTTGCCCTTTTTGTCATTTTCGCTCGATTTTTGTTGGTAGAAACATGCTTGCATTTTTGTGTTGCGAGGTAAACGGAGTCATTAATGAGCAGCCCCTATAAGGGTTTTCGCGTAGTCTGCGACCATTGAACATTCGCACATGTCAGAGGTTACTGCGGCGATTCACGATATCTAGAACAATGATAATGTAATCTATTACGGATTCTCCGTCCACCGGGAGAAGCAAGGCGGAGGTATCTGTGGACACCTCCCCACTCCTTTCACCCCGCCTATCGACGGAATGAAACAAGCAGCCCAGTAAAAACCAAACAATATTGCAGCACCTTTCCCCGACATATAATCCGAGAACCGCGGTCCTGACATATGTGTCGGGAGGCGGACAGACATGGTAAAACCACAATAGGACTGTCCACGCGTCCACTGGTGATTGTCCTCCCCCAGACCCTACGCGATGTGCGGATGCCCGTGTAAAAGGGGCTTCCACCCATCGCAGGAGTACGTGCAATGCGGTCTAGCACTCCCTCACCAGATCGCTGGCCCCTGGAGGAACGCCAGCGTCTCCCGTTCCCCTCTTCTAAGAGAGGAGAGCCGCAAGCAGCCGTGGGCGATGGTATAGACTCCCAGCAAACGGTTGGTCACTCGGACATCTCCCTACCTGGGTTCGACAGCTCCCAAGAGGGAAGCAAACTCAAGATTTTGGAGATGGTAACTCCACCGAGTCTAGCGCTCGCGAAGGTCGTCGTATACCTAATTAATACCTCATAGTGAACATTTTTATGATCGGCATTGATTTAACAAAACTTATAGACACTGAGGTACTTCTTTGTTCTCACACAACTACTTTAGTAATTACTTAATTTCAAACTGTAAGCGCTTTAATTAAGATCATAGTGCCGAAAGTCACTTTTTACCAGACTAGGTAGTTTAGCGCTCTCGCCTATTTCATTATTGCTCAACGTGGTATTCTTGCAGTGCTATGCATATAACGGGTGGTAATTGAATTTATAATAAAGTATGAAATCTTTATCTTTCTATTCGTGTCGATTTTGAAGCTCCACAAAAATCCCTCCAATAGTTAATGTCACAAAATTAAGATATGATGAATATGAATTTGTTCTCGACTATCACATGACGGATATATTTCGATAATAAAAAGAAGTCGTTTTAGTCTAAACAACTCACATTATATAATATTAATAGCATCATGGAAAAAATAGGGTGAATGTAAACCGAACCAACATGTAGGTCACTTCGAAACTTCACCAGAAAGATTTTTATATTTGTGATAAACCTGTTAAAAATGATGGCTACCAATCAGATTATGCTACAGACAGTATTATAACAATCTTATTGACTGATACAGATTTCAGTTTGCTTTCAATTCGCAGAAATTACCTGGCTCTATTTCGGAAATTCGTTGCCTATTCACAATTGAGTCTCGTCGCTTAGTATTCAATAAAGTCATTATTGACATGACCTAGTTATGTTAACTAAAAATGTTTTAGAGTGGTGTTCAAATTGCTCAAAGTTGTTGAATGTGAACGATGTAACAGTGGGATGCTACAATGATCGGACCTAATCATTAGTGCGGTATGTGTTCTTAACATGCCACATGCGTAGTCGATAGTTTTACGCAACCGCTCCATCATCCACTAAATTATTACGAAAGTGTAATTACACATATGATCCATTAAGAGGAACATCAATGAGAGCGCGAGCGGTCGGAAACCGGCTCATCACTCGCCCCCGACACGCCATTACACACTCTTACGCAACAACCAAATATCCAGTCCGATTGTTAACAATTCCAAATTAACGTCGAACCTAATCGACCACTCCGATACGAGAAAGGAGACTGCCTCCGCCCTCTCTCATACAGGGCAACCTTTCACGACTACTTTCGGGCATGACGCAACTATCAGATTCCGAACAACCACCCGTTCCACAACAAACACAGCGAAACAACGAGTTAGCATCACATATTTATTTATTTTCATTACTTTAAAATATAAAAAAGCCATATTATATAATACATAACGTAACAGTCGCTGTAAATTACCTCCTTTAATTATAACACTAACACTTGTGCACTAATAACAAGTAAAGATGATAGATGAGAACAATGAAGAAAGGGTGTGCAAGCAGACACGAGAGCGGTGACTATTTACAATGTGTCCGCGTGCGCACTGCGAGCGTAGATGGTAAGAATGAGACTCCAGTGTATCGTGGGATACCACAGAACTGTTTTGCAAATACTGATAAACTCTGCACGCACAGCAATAAATTACACATTTCTTTCCACCTAGCTTGCTATGGGATCTTAGACTTAGTGAACGGGACCCGCAACATGACCGGGAGGACCGTACTGAGAGCTAGTAGCGCCCCCGTGTCCGGCATCAGCACCACTGGCGTCTCCGCCGCTAGCTCCGAAATCAGCACCGATGTCGTCACCACCATGACCGCCAGCGCCGCCAGCACCACCGGCTCCACCGCTGAGAGCGATGCCGCCCAAATCACCACCGCCAATGGCGCCGCCCAAATCACCACCGCTGATTGCTCCACCACCAATAGCACCACCACCAATAGCACCACCGCCAATAGCACCACCACCAAGAGCGCCTCCTCCGATGCCAGATTCCTTCTGTGTCTGGTATTTGATGAAGTAAACTTCGGGTTTCGAGGGCTGTGTGGGCGCGGGTGTAGGGATGATGATGTCGGGTTGATCTTCGGGCTTCTTGACAAGAACGTATACAAGAGTCTTCTCTTCGTTCTGGGGCTGGACGGGGATGATGGGCGCAACCGGGGTAGGGGGAGTCGGGGCCTTGATGAAGATAATTTTGTAGTGCTTCTGGGGGGGAGCGACTGCGGGGATGCGGGGGATTCTCTGCTCAACGGGTTCCGGTGGAGGTACGTGAACATAGATGTGCTTCTGGACAAGAGGAGCACCAGAGTAACCGCCAGCGTATCCGCCGCCGAATCCAGAGTCACCACCGAAGCCCAGACCAGCGCCGCCGCCGCCGCCGCCTCCGCCCAGTGAGATGCCTCCAGCCGAGTGTCCACCTCCAAGAGAGATTCCACCAGATGAGTGTCCACCGCCGAGGGAGAATCCACCAGAAGAGTGTCCACCTCCGAGAGACAGACCTCCAGCCGAGTGCCCACCGCCTAGCGACAGACCAGAGAGACCGGAATGACCGAAGGAAATGCCACCGGAGTGTCCTCCTACTGAAACGGTCCTGTACCCACCGATAGACGGGGCACCGTAGCTACCGGATGGAGCAGAATATTTAGGGGCGGGAGCTGAGTAGCTGTAGCCGACTGGCGGTTCGGGGCGGCCGTAAGCCAGCGCTACGCAGGCGAGTACCTGGAAAGAACAGAAAATCAACATGAATATCCCGGCCGTTTGTATGGCAAATATGAAATAAGCTGATGGGGGATAGTTATAATTGAAAACAGGTCGGGAGTAGCTGGCCGCAAACGAAGTCGGCCGGAGGCGACAAGGTCCGATGAAGGCTGTGCTTGCCACAATAGACGATTCTATTAATACGTCTCACACGGATTAAACTCTTAATCCGCAAACTATAATGATACATTATGACATAAGTAGATGGAACTTTTACATTGGCATTTATGAAAATTTTCATGCCAAATCGTTGTAACTAAAGTAAAAAGCAACTTCCTAGTTAGAAAAAAATATATAACATTTTTCCTTATAAAGCGTAAACAGTGTATAGTTTTACATATAGTAGGCAGTGGTCGGTTACGTGACATGACGACACCGCAATAACTAACCACATTAAACAAGAGTAAGTGAAAGATGTTTGCATCTGCGAAATGTGTTACATATTTATTAAAAGTGAGCGCAGCCAAATGAGCAATAAAGTGGCGCAGCATTATATTCGCCAAGCATATCATAATAATCATACAAAATTTATTTTATAGTCCGTAAAATTTTGCAACAGTAACACCAGTCAAACATTTATGTTAACGAAAGGCTGTAAGGAGATTATTTACTACGCAAGTAGGTAATCGGTTGTGACGTAAGATCTAGACCTGTATCGATGTTAGTGATTAAAAACAATTAAAGTTATACAACAAAGGAAACCAATGTGAATTTAGTAGATCGAAACCTATTTACATCGTGATCGGATCAAGAAACGACTGTAATTATGTTTATGGTAAAATTGGCGTTGAATGTGTTAAAACTATACCGGTCAAACACACTGTACACTCGCTTTGAATTACGATGGAGTGCCCTTTTTAACTTGAGAACTTGTAGTCCACATAACTGAGGTTTGCTTTTAGCGAAAATATTTCATATAAAAATAGACAAATATTGTTCATAAGAAAAGAATCCTTAATAGAGGTCTGTTCAGTTCCAGTAGCAAACTTAAAATTTTTTGCAACTTCTTTGAATGAATTTGGATATAATAAATTCTTTAATTTTATTTTATCCAATTTTTCATTATTATATATATTTTTTTAATCTCGGAATTAAATCGAATCTTTAATATTTTCAGAATTTATTAATTTTATTATAGAGCTTTTAGAAAATTATTGAGATCAATACTTTAATTGTCTAATATATATTTTTATAATTCAACTAATAGGTAATATAGATTTTCAAAATGCTGAAAGGTAAGGAATATCGATAACATATTTTTTAAATATTGACAGATTGAGTTACTTTTTAAGGAATCACTAATACTCATAATAAGAAAAAATATAATTGCACAAAATTAAAATTAATAGGAGCGGCATCCTGTGATTTTTTCTAGAGCTACTTACTCTACCGATGATTTTCTACTAGAACACTATGATTACACAATAGGACGAAGCACTGAGATAATCAACCACTTTCACACCAAAATCCAATCAAAGAGTCCACACATTTCAAATGTACCTATCAGTCACTATTTGGCACGTTATGGAAAATATGAATGACGAAACACGCACGCACAGAACACTTCACTGTAATTATTATTACTGTAATCCCTTAAAGCGAAGAGGAAAAATAACCTATGCCAAATAATTACTGATAAGTAGTCAATTAAAATTGGTAAGTTTATGAACAACGCTTTCAACTTACCACAAATGCACGCATATTGAGTATGGAGGTAGCCGGTCCCTATGTGTTGGAAACCTTAGCGGTTACGTTTGTATAACCCACTAGAACAGCTCCAAATTTCTGGAGATGTTCTTATCACTGTGAGTTTGTGTTAAGTGATGACATTCGCCACGCGACCCGCTCTTAAATACCAAAGTGCTCATCTCGCCCGAACACTCCATCCCTACGGACATTTCACTTGGTAACGTGCAACTATCGTCATTATTTAACAACTGCACAGTCCTTTCTTTTCGGCTTGGTCCGTGAAGCGCATTCGATACGCTGCCTTAGTTACCACCGCTCGTATGAGGCGCGCGCGCAGACCGCGGCCGCCTCGTTAAGTTTCAAATTTCAATGCTATATAGTATTAAGACACACCATCGATAATATTCAATTACTCAACAACCTTTTCTGGATCTTCTCTAATGGCCTCAAATGTCAAGAATAAACATGCATTTTTCTTTTATTAAATTGTTCATTTATTTATTGGAGATCATCGTAATTAGATCTACCTATATAGATGTAACTCATAAATTCAATCCACACTTAATTGCTACAACTATTATATTCATTTTTAAACAAACCTAAGCTTATGTTTATTATTATTCCTGTAATAGTCAAATGTGAATAGCTAACAACAAAATAATTAAGTCCCACAGGAAGCACACATTGTTATTATGGAAACTTATATACACTTAATAATATGCAAACAAACAATACGAATATATGTGTCCTTCATTAAAATAAACGCCACCTGGATTTGAATCCCGGACATTCTAGAGCGGGATCGCTATAGTTGCACCAACCGCATAATATAATATTTTCTCATCTTATTTTAATGTACAAAAGTGTAACAATATCCGATGAGTAATCCAAAAAAACACATTGCACAAACTTAATATTTTTCTGTCGCAATAAAGCTTAACGAACTCTAGAATATTTTGTAACACCTGAAACTGTGTTAAATAGACCTTCTGAGATTGCCTTGTTTGCCCTTAAAAATAACGTCTCCGTGCATCTGAAGCGATTATCATGCTTTAAAAACACTCATTATATCAGAATTATCGGCCGTTCGTTGCCATACCTACCCCGACCTTGACTCGTACCAAGTGGAGCTTTTACGGGATAAAATTTATAATATTTAGCAACATTTAATAACTACATATTTAAATTTTATAAACCTGCAGTCAACATTATTAGCAACTCTAATAAATGCTTATTTGGTTATATGATAAACATGATGATCAATTACTAATTCTTAGCAAAAAGAATAACGTATAAATTAGTTATTAGAAACTATTGCTCATATGTTAGCCGATTTTTAACTACTTTTTGTCTTTAATTAAGTACTTATTTTTAAAAAATTAAAATAATACTGATGAGCCATTGTTTATATAATTAGTAAAATAAAAGCCGTACAAGAAGTAAACGATGCATAGATGGCAAACCGAACAAAAAAGAGAGACGGACAAGAGGCAAGATTAATTAAAGGTTTCGCTTTATGAAAACACTTTGTTTAATTGTTTATTTTTAATTAATTAGTACAATTAATTAAACAGATGAACGCATTTAAAAGATTAAAATTTGCCATAGGAAAATCTAGAGGTCATCTTAGATTAATACATAAGTGATGTTTACCCCGGTACCCCAGGGACAACATTGCGAATTTCCAACTAAGAGCAAAAGCTAGTTACCTAATAATAAATTAGGGATAACCCGCACCAGTTAATTAATCATAAACTAAGTACACTATTAGGAAGGCACACCGTGTTATGTTGATATACGGGGCTATGTTTTTCATTACTCGATTAAAACTTAACTGCCGAGCAAATTATCACCCAATCAAAAATTATTGTCATAATCCATTACTCCAGGAGCTCGATCGTTGAAGTTAAGCAACCTTCGCAGTGGTTGGTCATTGGATGGGTGACCAAAAAAATCTTCTATCTCGAGCTCCTCCGTGCTTCGGAAGGCACGTTAAGCCGTTGGTCCCGGCTTCATCTGCAACCGCCAATCCGCACTGGACTGGCGTGGTGGGTCATGGCCCAATCTCCCTATTCCATCCATAGGGAAGGCCTGTGCCCCAGCAGTGGGGACTTTAATAGGCTGTTGATCACTCCATTACATCGAAAATGAACATGAATAATAATATAATTATTAACATAACGTTTTTTATTACGCAATCATGCTTCTCCTACACCTGCGCGACGAAGAGCTTTTGGTGGCTTTGGTTCTAAATGCGCAAAAATTAGCGTTTGAAATTGGAATTAGCGTAATAAATCATTGGGCTGCGTGTCTTTAAACGCTAAACGATACCAGGCCGATTTTATATGTACAACTGAAGGAGCGTACTTAATTCAAAGTTCGAACGCTTAAGCTTAAGTGCGGGATAAGCACAGACGAAAAAAATTAAAAAAAGACGGGGTTTGAATGTCAGTCCCAATGTCAAATATATTTTTAATATATACCGTTGAACCTAAGAAGCTGTAAATCAGAAAGGATTCTTTGAACAAACAAAACGTTGCATTAGTTTTCCCACCAACAGATCGGTCTACGATGAATCCAATACGTATTTACAGTTCTCCCAGATTTCCTGATTTTTGTAATTTAAAAAATAAGAACAATAATAGGGGATAATTTAATTATGATCACAAAGCCTAATTTGCAGAATATTTATGAATGTGCACAACTAAATACCATACCATATCATAATGCTTACGGATAAAGTGCAAAGAAAGCTTATTTATTAAATTTTCCGTGGGTAAAGTTACCTTAAAAAACCGAGTACGATACAAAAACCGAAAAGATACTAAATGAAGAATTTGAAAAACTTCCAACTACTTTAATGGTTCACGTGAAGCATCGTTAAAATAAACAAGTTCACAAGTTAAACATTGCGTCAAATTCCATTGAATTTTTTATTGCGGCACGTTTTGTGGTCACAGGGTCCCTCTGTTTTGTTGCTTTCTAGTCTGGACGACGAACGACATGTTAATTTACTTATTTAGTATCGCTGCATGCATCGTCTGCTCAGAATTCAACGTAAAATTTTGTAACACGATTGTGACTGATATAATCGGACGTATTTGAGATAATGCATAAAAGTCCCTTTTGTACATTGGTAAGGTCGAAAACTAACTAACTTTATCGATTAAAGCCAAGTGGATTTCGGCATAAGCACAATAAAAAAAATAGTAGATACCTATATGAGTTATTAAAACATTTGTTGCTACTACGCTTGGTTCTAAACTAACAAAATGGTAAGAATTGCCAATTTAATATTTTTACACAGTTGCAGGGAGCGGCAGCGTCACCACCTGTCTAATTTTAAGTGTGAGATGAATCCAGTTTCGTAAATTGTGATGTAGTAGAATAATGTGGTGCTCGGCTTCAACCATTCCCACTTTTCTCGCGGACAAAAACACACTACCACTAAAATGTCACTATGGTCTTCTGCCTAAGCATATGTTATTTCCCCAGACATAATACGCACCAATTTCTTTTAATCAGGATCAAAGTAATGTTGATATTTTACTTGCGAGTTCAAAAATAAAAACTATGCATTTGTGGTACTCCTGGTGTTGCAGATGTCTAGGCGACGGTGACCACTTACCATCATGTGAGCCGTCTTCTATTCCCCTATAATATAAAAAAATAAGTAATTATCGCAACCAATTTAGCCATATTCTTTATCATTTCGTTCATGCTAATAATAATACTTCATCTAGTAAGTAAGTTAATGTGTCATATGTCATAGCCGACATAATTAATCACTTCTTGTCAGTCAAGATCAGTCACTGGATGAAAAAGAATAATGCACTTACTAATATCCTCACAACTTCGGGGTTGACCTAAATCTTTAGCAGTCTAGTACCTACAATATTGATTAAAGGTTTTAGTGTGGATGAGTATCTCTTAGTTACTGTGAGCACTGAAACGGTAAAATCATTATGAAATTCTTCAAGATCTGATTTTGGTATTTTGGTATTTAACCATAAACTATTTTGACCTAAGAATTCAGAATTTTAAGTTTTTCAGGGATACGTTGGAGCCCCTTTCTTCTTTCTTCCTTAGCACTTATTACTAAGCTAGATAAAGGACTACGTCTAGCCTCTGCATTACGTAAATACTCTAGGCATTTGGTCCAGTAGATCTTAAGCATGTACCGTGTACCTAACACCCACACTTCAAATGCCAGCTTTGTAGTCTTAATAAAAATATGTACATCGACACAAAGTATATTATTTACCTCAACGTTTAATTTATTATATATTCATGTATTCATGACTAAAGTCCTATGTCCAATAATTACGCACAAAGCCAGCCCCGACAAAGTCACGGACAATCCTAGAGTTCTTCTTGTTAATGTAATAAAAAAAATACCAAATCGTTATAAATGAATACAATCAAAAACCCTCTCATCAATCATTCGATCTCAGAATTTGTGCCTTAGCCATAGCAACTGAATACCGGATAAACCATGTCTCAAGTCTGAAGGTTCATTTTTTACAAAAAATATTGCTCCGAAAGTGAAACCAATAATGACACATTTTTCTATTGAGAACTCGATCGAAGTAAAATTACCTACTTACATTATCTTTTTTACATATTATAACACAATATAGGTCCTTAATCACTTAAATGATTGGAGAATGTTGATACAAGAAAACACATTTATTTGATAGGTATACCTAGGTATGGTATGTTTGTCCGGAGGTGGGGGTGACGGACGCCCGGATATCGGATACTTCGACAATATCCGCAATCGATTGACACCTATTTTCACTTTCTCAAAATATCAGCGTTTGTATAAATTTAAATACCTATATAATTTTCAGATCTATCGCCGTTAATAGTATTCCAACTCGTCACCGTGTACGCAGTAATATTATTATGAATCTTTTGGAAATTGAACGAAGGGGTCTAGGCAAAAAAAGTGTAAGATTTTTCCGTTACAACCGTCAGTTGTTTCGTAGCATATTGTGTGTAGTTGTGTACATAGTAATGTTTATTTTTAAAATCGCTTCAACCGAGGCCGAGGGTTCCACGACACGCACGTTTGCATTTTTTCGTTAAATTACCCAGATGTTGGTAATATGGAAAAAGTTTTGC